AAAATCGGAATTATTTGGGGTCAGATTTTGGGGATTGGATTTCCTGCCAAAATCGGAATTATTTGGGGTCAGATTTTGGGGATTGGATTTCCTGCCAAAATCGGAATTATTTGGGGTCAGATTTTGGGGATTGGATTTCCTGCCAAAATCGGAATTATTTGGGGTCAGATTTTGGGGATTGGATTTCCTGCCAAAATCGGAATTATTTGGGGTCAGATTTTGGGGATTGGATTTCCTGCCAAAATCGGAATTATTTGGGGTCAGATTTTGGGGATTGGATTTCCTGCCAAAATCGGAATTATTTGGGGTCAGATTTTGGGGATTGGATTTCCTGCCAAAATCGGAATTATTTGGGGTCAGATTTTGGGGATTGGATTTCCTGCCAAAATCGGAATTATTTGGGGTCAGATTTTGGGGATTGGATTTCCTGCCAAAATCGGAATTATTTGGGGTCAGATTTTGGGGATTGGATTTCCTGCCAAAATCGGAATTATTTGGGGTCAGATTTTGGGGATTGGATTTCCTGCCAAAATCGGAATTATTTGGGGTCAGATTTAGGTATTGGGTTTCAGAAGAAAATGGGAATTATTTAAAGAGATATTTAGTCATATATCCATTCTTAGCATTAAAATTATTAAAAAATACAAAAAATTATAGCGGATCCAATTGAATTGAATTTTGATTATTAAATTACTTTGATGCCCTATTGAGTGTTTTAGGCTTTTTTATGAGATTTTAGGGTTGGGTTTGTTTTAAGAAATCAATGGCAGTTTTGTAATTTAAAAGAAGTTAAAAGGCTTTGGGGATTGGAAGTCAGAATAGAATATTTTCTGATATATTTTTATTTTTCAAAGAGAGGTATTTATTATACAAGTGTGTAATAAGGTTATATAAGGAAACAAATAAACTCCTAATTACACAAGATTTGTACAAAAGAGAAAAAAAATCCTAATAGAATTAGGATCTTGCCAGCATTGGATTTCCTACCAAAATTGGAATTATTTGGGGTCAGATTTTGGTATTGAGTTTAAGACGAAAATGGTAATTATTTAAGGGAAATACGCTGCTTTGCCTAGGGATGGCAAAATCCCCGTGGGGGCGGGTCCCCTTCAGATTCTCGATCCTAACTAGGGGAGATTTCGGGGTCAAACAGGTATTGGGTACGGGGATCCCCTGTAACGACCCGGTTCTAAATTAGTAGTTAAATTTTAAATTATTCAAGAAAAAGACAATTTTACCCCTGAAAATACTTTAATGATTTTAAAATTTGACTTTTTATTCTGGGAGGATTAAATAATTAAAATAAGAGGAAATAAGTTTAAATGAGGAAAGAAGTGGAAATAAATGATTTGAATTAAGTAAGGTTTTTGGAAATTAAAGTATTATTTAAATTTAAAAGGGGCAAAAAGGTCATTTTAAGTTCGGGAAGGAATCTGGGGATTTTTACTTTTACTTTTGCTTAGAGCACGTCGAGATGAGTCCGTAGACATGTAGTGGGCTCAAATCGGAGTTGTAACGAAGAAGTTATGATCTATGGAAGCCTAGTGGAAAAATCATAAATATTTCGAAGTTCAGTTTTTTTTAAAACCTAGATTTCTTCTCTTTTGGGCAGCTCGATCAGCCAACTTCATATGGGGATTTCTACCAACTCCGGCCTCTGTTTCAAGCAAGACCGGTACCAAACGAACCACCACACTTCCCTCTTCCAGCCCCTGCCCTTCGCCATCTCAATCCGAGGCCGTAATCGCCGGAATCAGCCATGAAACAGGCGGTTTTGGATAGATTTTTCTTAAACTTTCGCCGGCCGTTTCTCCCTCCTCCGGCCACCAAACTGGTCGAATAAGGTATGCTTTTCCACCTATTTTTCGAGCTCTAGCTGTTGGTTGGGTAGGATTTGAAAGATTTCTAGCGTTAATAGGTTGAATCTTGAATTGGATTTTGGTAATTCCAGGATCGTATAGGATTCGACGAATCGTAAAATGGAGTCCTGGATACCTCAATAAGCACCAATCCAAGGGCTAGGTTTATAGTAACCGTTCGATCGTACGATTGTGATTAATCTGACCGTCCGATTGAAACCAAACTTTCGAGACATGTGTCCTAGGCATATTGGAGACTTTAGGGGCTCCCGGATTTGTGATAGAAGGTCGTGGGCCCCGCGGGCCAGGTTGACCAAATTTAGGTGGTTTGACCCCTCGGTTGACTGTGAGTCTTCCGAGGCAGTTATATCCTTTGAGAAGAGTTAGAAGGACCATGGAAATGAGTCCTGACCGGGAATGAGTTATTTGAATCCATTTATCATAAAATTGATATACAGGCCAGGAAATATATTGTAAAATAAAGGAAAGTATTGATGTAAGTTTGGGATACGGTTTTTCAAACCCATCACAAGGGTACCCCGTAGTTACTTGAAACAATGTCATTCATAAATAATGCCTCACATGTTTCGAGGACCCTTGAACCGTGTGGTACGAGGATTGCGGCTCGGATAGAAGTTGTATCTTCAAGGCCAGCGAGGATTGCGGCTCGGATCGAAGTGGTATCTTTTAGGCCTGTGAGGATTGCGGCTCGAGAAGAATTGATGTCTCCGAGGCCTGCGAGGATGAAATTGACGGATCAGGAATGGGGGGTACGCCTAGGTGGAGAGAATCTTGGTTTTGAGAAGTTCTTAAACTAAAATAAAGGGAGTTCAGTATATGGCTTATTTATAATCAGTATATGGCTGCTACATGAATTGGGAAGTTGCAAAGTATTTTTTTAGAATTATGAATATGATTGAGTACATCACGCACATAAGAATTCAGTTTGATCTGCAAAACACATGGCAATATGATGAATGAGTAAGATATTCAGTTACATTATTAAATGAAAGAACTGCGTGTGGCTTGATCCCTTGTCAAGGGTACGTAGGCAACCTAGAATTCTAGGTGCAGCTGCGAGGTCAAGTAATAAGAAGGTAGTCCAGTTAAGTTATTATGAAATCTAACATTGTTCTGAGGATGTTCTAAGAAAAGCTAATTGAATGTTGTTAGCAGAATGATTTATTCGATTTATTGAGGCATGAGGCCAAAATGATATGATACTTGATTTTTGGATATAATTTGATACATGCTGGCAGTTGGGTTATATATAAATATTTATGCTTGTTTTACAAGTGAAAATTTTTGGGAAATGTTCAATTTACAGGGGGGACTTTGGCTAATTTTGGGTAGAAGTCACACTTGAATTTCTTGGAATTTTGGTTAGAAAGGCAATTTGGTCAATTGTGTCCGGCAACCGCCAAGTGTCGAACATGCACGGGGTTCGGCTCGAATTCCAAAGTGGAATTTGGGTTGAGTCCTGTCATCCCCGAACTTGAAAAATCCACGACGGATATGGGGAGGGGATGGTTTTGGCATCCCCATCCCCAAACCCGACCCGAAATATATATGTTTATATTTGAATAAATAAATATATAATTATAATATTTATGTTTAACCCTAAGTTAATCACCTTCTCCTAATTCTTCCTAATCTTCTTTGGAATTTCATATTGATGCGATTTTGAATAGTTGAGTTAAACTTTATAGTTAATTTAGATGTGTTGAATGATAATTTAATATGAAACTTAATGTTAAAATGTATGATAAATAATTTTTATGCAAAAAAAATTGGGGATTAGAGGCGGGTATGGGGGATAGTCCCTCGACGGGGATGGGGACGGGGATTCCCCGAAACCTTTTAAACGAGGATGGGTTTGGGGATGGGGGCGGTGATGGTATTGTCATACCTGGCCCCCTACCCGACCCATTGCCATCCCTAGCTTTGCCCCTGGCACACATGTTTTTTTTCAGTAATATCCCCTCTTTGAAACCTAATCACAAATGCCACCTATAAAACCTCCCTAATGCCTCCGTATTGCCCTTGTGTCACTTTTTTTTTGTGGTTCTGAGCTCAGAGCTCTCACTCTCACTTACTCACTCGCCTCTCCTCTTTCCTGTTTTCTCTCTCCCTCTCACCCACATCGGAAATGACAACTGTCACCTCCTCAGAACCCACATCGACGACGGCGACCTCACTCTCTCTCTTTCGGCCGCTGTTCACCGCCTCCATCTCTCACTCTCTGTCACCTATTTCAACCGCCGTTCTTCCCCTCCGGTTCAACAAATTTCTCAATTTTCTTCAGCATTCTTGAAATCCCTATACCTAGAGATGACGTCCCAGGTACCCAGCTCAGCTTTTTGCCTTTACTTTCATACCCATATGTTATTTGGGTTTTCTTCTGCCTGTTTCAATTTCATATACAGAAAGTTGCTCAAAATCCAAATTCTTGGTACATCGTTTTATTTATCATGCTTATTTGCTTGTTCTGAATATATGGTTCTGTTTATTTGTTTGGTTACCCCAATCTCAAAAGCAGTTTGTTCCTCCTCAAGCACATTCGTTTCCTACGCACCAAACAACAACACCTGAGAATAGCCAAGGAGATCTCTGTCTTTAAGATTCAAATGATGCCCAAACCCACCAAAGAGGTAAACTTTCACAGAAACTGGCTCAAATAGTGAAGTGGGCAATTGTATTTTGGAACAGCTTGAAAATGAACAATATGGTTAGCGAAAATAACAGAAGAAAAGTACAGATAAATGCAGAGAGAGACGGCTAGCTGACGTTTGTGAAGTTGATACATTACCAATAATATGGCTAATTGTCTTTTTATTGCTACATGATATAATTATTATATTCCGTCTCTCCCACATTTATGCATTCACGTGGTGTTATTTACCATTATGTGAGTGCACAAAATAATTATGCGTTTGTGCACCTATTGTTGGTTTTGTCACCCTTTTGTACTTGTTAGGGGGTGTTGGTTTGATTCCTACTTGTGTGATTTAGTGGTTTTTTTACTTAATTTTTCAAAATTAAAAAAAATTCTTCATAAAATGGCATTAAGCAGCATTGAACCCATAACCAATTAAATAACTTTACCATACAATACCACTTGCCTATGTGGGCTCGTTTGGTACATCGGATTGTACTGACTAATTTCTGTCGGATAGTATTAATCTGTTTCGGAGAGTACTGACTGTTTATCTATAATATTAGAAGGTGTTTGGTGCTATTCTGGATAAATAGTCCGACTAAGTTATACTGTGTTTGATGCTGTTCGCGATAACATCGGATTAGACTATTTGTTTTAATATTTTTTTTTGGGGATAATTTAAGTGGAAATTGAAATTCAAATAACACGAATTTTGTTTTGGTAAGATTCATATTACAATATTTTTTTTTGGGGTTTATATTAATAAAATAATTTAAAAAGAAAAATGAAACCTGAGTTTAACTTCCTCATCTTCGTTTCCTCTACTTGTCTCTTGGGATGGTGACGACACAGAGGGACTGGATTCCGCATCTTCCATCACCGTTCGAAAGACCCTGTGTTGTCATCGACGACAAAGGTCAATTGACCTCTTTCCCCTTATTTTCAAATCATATGGGTTTCTTTCAGAATTGGAAATTCCTTCGTTATTAATTATCAAAATAATTATATATCTTGGAATTCGTAGAAACCTTTTGTTCTGTTTGCATCAGGAGATAAAGGGGAGATGAATTGAAATAGAGTTGTTCTCAAATTGATTAACTGGGTTCTCCAAGATTTGCGAGTTTGCATAATAGGATTTGGGGTTTTAGCTTGCTTGGGGCCAAGCTAAATAGATGTTCAAGCTCTATTTTGCTAGTTCATTTTCTTGGAGAAGAGTGAAGAAAATAACATGTAGAGAAGGATAGTAGAGAAGAACCCTAGAGAGAAGAAGAAGAAAATAGAGTCTGATTTTTCCCGTGAACGTGTGTGGTTTTTTTCCCTAGCCGTATAATTAAGCGTGTATTATCTAAACCGGGGTGTGTGAGTTGTATTAGTTAGTCAGGTAAGGAGAGTATTAAAAGCCCAACCCGTATAAAATAGTTAGGTAATTAAATAATACAAGTTGACACCAAACACCTGACATAGACTATTTACTCCTATCCAGAGTCTAATACGATGTACCAAACGAAGCCTATATGTATATTTTTAATAATTTTGGATTGATTTGACGATTATATCCTTAGATTTAACCGTTCTTTTTAACAAAGGGACTATTTAAGAGCACCCATATTAACGTTAGGGACCCTGAGTGATACAAAAAAACTTTAAGGATGCAATTTGACAGTTTCGCAAACGTCGGGGACGTTTTGTGATAAAAGGCCTATTCCTTAAGACAAACTGAGAAATATTTGTTGCACAATCCCAAAATTTTGGTTCAAAAGGTTATTGTATAATCCCACTGCTCTAACATTCTTTACATAAGCTGAAAATATTAATTGTAAACAGAGAGAGTAAAATTTTAAATTAAACCCACAATTATGTTTCAACAAATTTATGTTCAATCTCACTCAAATCAAGCACCAAAAATCCAAACCCATATATGAAATTTAAACAAGGAGAAGAAAACCCAAATGTGTAGGAGAAAAGCCAAGCTGGCTACTTGAGACGCCATATGTAGGCATGGAGGTTGAAAGAGGTGACAGAGAGTGAGAGATGGAGGTGGAAAGGGTGAGGTCGTCGTCTCCGATGTGGGTTAGGGTTTTTGAGGAGGTGACAGTGACTGTTGCCAATGTGGGTGCGAGCGAGAGAGAAAGAGAAGAAAGGAGAGGATGGTTGAGTGAGTGAGACCAAGAGAAATTGTGAAAGAGGATTTGAGAGAGCTCAGAACGACTAAACAAAAGTGAAAGATGGGCAATAGGCTGTCCACATTCAAACGGGCCGGGTCGGGCTCGTGCCGTGCCCGTGCTCGTGCCATACTCGAGCCCAAGAACCAACCCATTTAATTTGAATTTTTTTCACTTGATTTTTTTTTTCACTAGATAATTCAAATTATAAACATTAAAAATATAATTAGAGGCAAGAAATAATGAACTATTTGAAAACATTAATCAATCAAACATCCAAACAATATGAAGGGGCGGAGGGCAAAAAGTGTCCAAATCCACAAAGTCCACTTCAACTTTTAATCTTTAAACAACTTATTATTTTATATGTGAAGAAATGTCTTGCTTTGATTATAAGAGAAGCGTATATGTCATATGTATCGATTAGATATCAAGTCCAATGTTGTTTAATTAATTTGTAGTTGATATGTTTAATTAATTAAGGACCCAAGTAATTTCCCTAAAATGAAAGACATCAAATATATGTTTATGATTAAAAATAAACATATAAACAATGACATTAGATGTCAAATTATTGCATTTTGACTTTTTGAGAAGGAAAAAAAAAAGCTAAATGGGACGGGCTTGGGTCGTGCTTGAAGTGGGCTTGGGCTCGTGCCGTGCTTGAAGTGGGCTTGGGCTTGTGCCGTGCTTGAAGCGAGCTCGGGCCAAGCCCGGCCCATATCGGGCCATAGGACGACCTGGTCCATTGGACCTATTTTTTGATCCCAGCCTGGCCCAAGTTTTCGTGCCGTGCCAAGCATGGCCCATTAATATTCGTGCTCATGTTGTGCCGTGCCTCATTTAAACGGGCTGGGCTCATGCCGTGCTGGGCCGGCCCGTCCCATTTGACACCTCTAGTTCCCACTCATCTTTTGTCCACTTACACTCCCTTTTTTGTTATACTAAAAACTATTAAAAAACAAAAGGGAGTGGAAAAATCACCACCCTTTAAAATAGGTGGCTTTGTCCCCGCTCCAATGTTTTTTTCAATAATGTAACCCTTCGGAAACTCAATAAAAAATGTCTCATATAAAAACTCCGTATTGCCCGTATAACCTTTTTATCACTTTTATTTTTGTCGTTTGAAATTGGCCTCTGCTCCCTCTCAAAAATCTGCTTTCTTCTTCTTCTTCTTCCTATCTGTTCTGCTCTCTCTCACAGATGAAACCCTAAATTTCTTCTTCTCTTCTCTGCTATGCTCTATCTGTGATGAAACCACAATTTTGCATCTCCTCTCTCTTACTGATACCCAGCCCTAATTCTCAATTCTACATATTCTTCGTTTTCTGGATCCAAAGGCCATCTTCTTTTGCGCCACCCCTTGTTGCGAGTGTTGTGTTTGGAGCAACGAAGTCATGGAAACTGCAGGAGGTTCTAGAAGGATGCAAGGTCGAGCTCATACCTGAAGTAAATACATAAATCAACAAGAAAGGTTTCCTAATCCATGCCCGGATCAAAATTGATAGTTAATGATGGAGAATATTGGTCTAGAAAGTTGCTCAAAATCCAAATCCTTGGTACATCGTTTTATTTATCATGCTTATTTGCTTGTTCTTAATATATAGTTCTATTTGTTTGGTTAGGCTGAGTTGATGAGTGCATGAAAAAAGTGCCCCGCAGGTGTTCGATGAATCACCTTAATGAGCGCACTATGGTTTTCTTTGAGATACAAACAAATTGGGCCAATTCTCATGGTATATACGTGAACTTCTGGGAGGACCCAATGAACCCATCCAAATGGAAGGAAGAACATGTGAGTTTTATTATATTTTGTTTACGAAGATGTCTTTATAGTGCATAATGGTTTTGTTAGATCACCATTGACATTAGTTTGATTACCTTTTAACAATGCTTGAGAAATGTCCCTGTTTTGACATGAAGACTTACACAAGTGCCATATTATGTCAAAGTTTATAGTGAATGGATACTTGGTTCTGTCATTTGATATTTCGAATTCTATTATATTTATTTTCTTATTTTTATGCTTTTGTGTCATGTCTTGAGTTTCTTTCATTTCGACGTGCTGCCCGTGAAGGATAAGTGGGGTAAATTGAAACTTTTGTATGCAACAGGGAAGTTGAAGTGACATGGTAAAAGGTGATATTGACATGGATATTGGGCACAAATATTGTGTCCAAATTTCAATGGACACAAATGGATTCTTTCTGTGCTCGTCTTAGACACAAACCTACAGTGTTTTTTTGTGTAAAAGACATGTTTAAGACATTTTTGTGCTAAATGAAGTTGAAAAAGACATGATCCTTCTTTTGTGCTCTATAAAATGTGTCTTTAGAGCAGTTTTGTAGTAGTGACCCTTGCCCATACAAGTAGGCAGCAACTTTGAAGATTCGATTTACAGTTTATCTGATTCGATAGCTTGTGATTTACTTTGCCTCGCCACAAATTTCCTGTGGTGAATCAAAAGATTTATTTTGTTGTACTGGATTCGTGGAGTCTATAATATTTAGATTGTAGGGCATGTTAGAAATTTGTAGGCCTATGGTGAATCAACAGCACATGTATGCTTCTTTTTCTGCTTTTGTGTCATGTTTTTCTTGTGGTGCATATTGTTTCTGTCATGTTCTTTGTAGAAAATACCTTTTGTTTTTGTTTTTTTTTAAAATAATACTTGGCTTAATTTAGCTAGATCAGAAAAATGTTGGGTTGTCCTTAGTTTTATTTCAGTGATTTTCTGTTTGATTTATAGAAATGACATGAATGTCATGAAGACTTCAGAGGCAAAGGGGATATGCAAGAACAACTTAAGAATTCATTTCGAGTCCTCTTTTGGTTATTTAGCTCATTCTATTTATGTATATTTACATTTTCAAGCAGGTAATAAGGGCTAGTTTCTTGAATGTCTCTCTCTTTTGAATATGGAGTAACAAATCCTCACACATCTTCGTGGGGCTGATCGTTTTGGATGTCTACTTTCTTTTGGACAATGCAAGTATCCAATCCTCTCAAGCTATAGGAAAACTTTTTTGACTTGGTTAATGCCAATTTACTTTCATCAAACTTTTCAGAAGCACCTGCAGAGCCCGAAGCAAAGCCTGCAGAAGCTGTGGCTGCGGCTAAGTCTTGGCCTATTTAACGTGGAAGTAGTCATTTAATATGTCTAAGTTGATGAAATTTGGGTGGTATCCTGTAAACTATCATGTACTCGTTCAACTTGTCCTTGTTTCTAAGCGACAATGTTTCTCTCTCAACTTGTATGACTTTCTGTATAAATAAATTGAAGTGAGAAATTGTGTTATGTCAAGCCTTCTTTCAGATCCTATTTTTTGCTTCGTTTTTCATTGAAATACTGATGCTTGCGACTTTAGATTTGTTAAGATAAACCTTAAATACATGGAGGAAAAGGCAATAACTGTAATGACCTCAAAAATAATATTTGGTTTTATTATTTTTGTGGAAATTATTATTAAGTCGTGTGACTATTTTGGTTTGGTGTGAAAATATTGGAATTAAGTGACTTAATCTCAAATTGGGACAAAATACCTTTATGATTAAGTTTATGATTTTACAAAGGAAGTACAAGAAATTGAAGCGAGAAAATTATGATTTTTGATTTGGAAAATCGAGATTGATCTTACGAAACGCGTAGGCGCAAACGGTTCGTGAATCCGAGTTGAAACGAAGAAGTTATACTCGTTTGAAGTTTCAGGGACTAAATTGCAATCAGAGCCACTTTGCCGTGTGGTGCGAGTGTGCCGACGAGGACGTCGGGCCCTAAGGGGGGTGGATTGTAAGATCCCACATCGACCAACGGAAAGTGTGTTGATGTGCCTTATATGTACATGCCCGCATCCATATAGCACGAGGCCTTTTGGGAGCTAACTGGCTTCGGAGTCGAAGGAACTCCGAAGTTAAGCGAGTTGGGGGCGAGAGCAATCCCAGGATGGGTGACCCACTGGGAAGTTGGTAGTGAGCTCCCAGAAACAAAACCGTGAGGGCCAGAGAGGAGGGGCGGTTTGAGAGCTCGTCGGAGAGGCGATTTCCGGCGGCTGCTGCGGCGGCGTACGGTGGAGGTGATCGACACCACCAACCCAGATAGGAAGCCTGCTATCTTGTGAACATAACCCAAGAAGAATCGGAGCCATCGGAGGTGCGGTGAAGGCTGGGCGACGCCGCGAAGTTGGTTCGTCAATAGTGAAATCAGCAACTTCAACCGGCGGTTTGAGCCACTTACACTTCGAATTGGACCTCGAGGTAAGAATTAAAGTTGTTCTACTCAGTATTATGAACATTTTGGCATAGGTCTTGACCGGCGATTTTAGGGTGGTCCGTCGCCGGAATAGTACCCAAACCACCACCGGCGGTGGCGGCGCGTGGCGGCGCAGGGTGGCGATTCTGAATTAAGGCTTTAGAGACAGAATGTAGTCCTGGAGTTACTGAACATGATAGTATGTTTAAATTGTTGAGATTCCGTCGTTTAATCGACGATCGGAGCCTCACAAATGTGGACCATTGATTTGAGATTATCGGACCGTTGGATCGTGTCCAATTTTAATTATGTTGTAGCTGGTGTTGTTAGGAGTCTGTGGGTTCAGACGGATTGATGATCGGACGTCCCGATCTTAAGTTTTTAAATTTCAAAGTTAAGGCGAGCGATCGCCATTCGATCGTGTAATGTAGAATTATCCGACCGTTGGATTGGGCCCAAATTGTCGCAGGGAGATATCGGGACTATTTAGAGTCCATTGGTGTGATCGGATTTGGAATCCGAGGTTGTGGGCCCAAGGCGGATTTTTGGGGTGTCGGTTAGACATGTGGGACCCACGGGACCCAAATAGTGACCTTTTGGACAATGGGTGTCATTGGTCATGATTCGACGTTGACAGCACGTACGTCACAGTTTTGGAGTTGGTTGGATGAGATCTGATCACTTTGGATTTCCGGTTGGTCCAAAGGGCAATTTCGTCATTAGTTGCGAAATCTTGGATTTTGGAGTTTTGTGCTAAGTTGAGTTGTGTACTTTGCTTAGGTACTGTTGGAGTTTGAGTTGCTCGTTGAGGTTTGAGATTGAGGATTCGTTAAGTTGTTGAAGACGCAGCTTGGACGAAAGGTGAGTAAAACCATCCTAATCGTGAGTAAAGTCACGAATTATTATATTTATTATAATGTGACCTTGGATAATGTTAATGGCTATAATTAACATGTTGGTTGTGATTTTGTAAAATGTTTTAATTGATTTAAAACACATGAACTTGTTCATCAACGGTTCATGAGGTAAGTGAAACCTATTTTGTTTTGAATTAATACTTTTTATTAGAGATTTTGGTGTTTAACCATATAACATATGTTGTGGATGTATGGTGGAAATTCATTCGTGAATAACCACATAAATATATATAATAAATATATATTGCTGTGATTGGTGTATTTGGCTATAAAACAATGTTTAATGTGAAACTACATTTTATATTGTTTTGGTGTTGGTGTTTTGGTGTTGATGGATTTAGGTGAGAATACCTTGAATCCCTTCTGAGTTTGTCAGGTGGGCATTCTCGTGGCAAATAATGAGGGATAAATTACCCTAGGGAGCAAGACCCAAGAACAGTTAGAGCTCTAGTCTGGCGCCATCTAGTACTCATGACTGGTGTGTAATCATGAGTGAACACTACTATGGTGTTTTGTAGTGTTATAGATTAGAGGTTCATAGTATTCTCTCTTCTATCTGTCAAACAATTGACGTGTGAAAACTACTTTGAAATAAAGAGTTTTGGTGTGGTCACAGGTGGTGATCGTAACAGTTCTTTAAATAAAACAAAAGAATTGTGATTGTGATGATATTGATGATTATGATTACCTTGGTTATACAAGGATTGTGGTGTGCTAATGTAAGTGCATGTGTTTGTATATTATGTGCAATTGACATATTATACTGTGGACGTGGTTTACTCATACGAGCTTTAGAAAGCTTACCGGGTTGTTCTGTGGTGAACCCGGTGCACTATTCAATGGTGTAGGGGAAAATCCTGCAGGTGGTAGAGACGGTGAGCAGGAGAATTAAGGTGAGGAGCAGGAGGCTCATTGGTGGTTCCACAGACTGTAAAGTGTGGTGTGAGAGTGTTGGTGAGTGTTAGACTTCCGCTGTGTGAAATAAGCTCTGAGGAGCATATTATGTAAAATGATGATTGTTCATTTATTATGTGAGTTCGTAATGTAATATTTGACTCAGAAGAGTTGAGTCATTATTGACATTGTGGTTCGGAACAGTGGTGTTGTATCAAGAAAGAAAAGTTTAAATTTCTAGGTACTTTTGTTGAAGGTTCCGAGCTTCGCGTCCCGGATCGTTGGTTGTTCTGCTTAATTTTGCAGATTATTTGTTGTTGAAAATTCGGGGCGTGACAATAACAAGGCAAGGCACTACAATGGCAATAAAAAAACTCCACATTCCTACTATAATTTCATTCAAGAATTGAAAATAAAGGGCAATACGGGAGCTATACAATGGTAATATGAACGCAAAAACGGGCTATACAACAGCAATACACAAACTCCATACTCTCCCTATAAATTTATTCCAACTGACTTGAAAAAAACTCACCAATTTAAAATTATTACTTAGTGACAAATGACATTAAACACAAATACTGCTTGTGGTGATCAAGTAACCAAGGTAAATGCAATAATGTAAATAACACAGTATTTGTTAACCCAGAAACCCATAAGGGAAAAACTGGTGGACCAAGCCAGGAAAAGATTCAATCCACTCAATTGTAAAGTACAAGAAATATAGGGATATTAGCTCAACTACACACAATAGGCAGCTAACTATCTAACCTTCTAGCAAAGCACCATTTCTTTACTTCACAGCAACGAATTCTTTTCTCGACCTCGCAACAACACCAAGCATAAGTTGCTCCCGATATAATGTTATGAAGTGAGTTATGGTTTCATAAAATTCATCTATCTCAATCATTCAAATGATTAAATTAGATTAAAGAAACCGTGTACAGTTATGAATTAAAACCAAAAGATGTTTGAACTTTGAAACATGATTTTAATCATAAATACAATAATGAAACCAAAGCAGTCATTTAATCAAAGTCAGAATAAACTTGGAGTAAGTTTTATGTGTATGCAATCATACTCATAACTCTCAAGAATTCAAGATGACTGAAGTAAGTTTTTGAATGTTTAAAAACTGATATGATGATCTTTCAAAAAACATGAACTTGGAAGCATAGTAAAGGCTGAGATTTAAAACGTGATGCCAAATGCTTAATATGCTTACCTCTTCATCAAAACTAAGTTCAGTATTTATAGAGAACTGAACAACAAGTTTCAATAAAGAGGAGTTCAATAACCAAAAAACAGGTTCAGTTGGGAACCTGGTTTCAAGAAGAATATAGTTTCACTTTAAAGAAAATAATAGTTTCAACTAAGTGGAACTATTATGAAACTATTGATCCCATGAAGAGCAATAGTTTCAAGAAAGTTTGACTGAAAAGAGAATGAAGATGCAGAGGATAATTCTTTTTAATCATTTCAGAAATCAAGTGCAAAGAAGATATTTCTAATAAACTATTAGTTGATTTCTGCAATGGATGGATTAAAACAGATATAGGATGGATTGATACAAAATGAAACAAAAAACGTTTTTTAAAGTGTGTATCAATCCCCGTATATCAAACTCTGCGAATGTATGCAAAGTAACAGATGGATTGAAACAGACAGGAGAGGATTGATATAGAATGAAAGCATCAAACGATTTTAAAGTTGTATCAATCCTAGTGAATGTATGCAAGATGTTCTTACCTGTTCTTCACAAAAAGATATCTTTGGAAACAGCAACCACTTATTCTAACCTAGAGACTATCTCAAATATCTAAGGAGATTACAATGGTTTTGTTCCAAAAAAGAGAAGAGCCAAACAAAACAACAATTACAATCTCCTCCTTTGGCTTTTTCTTAAACAAAAACCGTATTTTGAACAATTTTACATAACTTTAAAACTAACTATGTGAACCATCAGACAACACCTGCACAAGTCTCACAAAAGGATGTTTAAAGAATTTCAAGCAATCTTTGACGGCAGGATTCCAAAAGGGCAATTTTAACAACACACATAGTTGAAGAGATTTAAAGGAATATAAACCATAAAACCATAAAAATTTAACCATGTTTGAAATGTCACAGGATAGCTAAAACGTCCATTATTGACAACTCCAAATTCCATATATAGCAGGCTATACAGCACATTATAAAAATTCAAAGCACGAAAGCAACAAATTTGCATACCAAAAAAAAAGAAAAAGGCAAAATAACCACATTTGAGAAACACAAATAATTAATTAATTAAAAATAAGGTATGTAAAAATATTGGCTAAGTATGAAAAATGGTTTTTCAAAATAATCATTTTCTCAAGATAATTTTTGGCGGCTTTTATTCCTTACACATCAAATAAGAAAACTTGATTTTATGTGATTTTAATATGAAGTATATATTGACTTAATGAGTCATCATTTTTAGCCTAAATCGTATTTTGCACTAAAACCGATTTTTCATATTTTGATTTGGTGGGAATTTGATTTTCTAGTATTTTTATTTGAATCCAAATGGGGGGTACTTCCTTATTTACATTGTAAACTTAAGTAATATAAAAATAAATGAAAGTAAAAGGATAAAGACGTTTACTTATGGGCAATTTTTAGGAGTCAACATCTTCGCCTCCAATGATGGATTTCGGGTTTGCAGGGGTCAATTGACCCCTCTTGCCCCTATGTGGATCCGCCCCTAGTCTCAAATCAAGAGAACAATGCAAATTCATGCCGCCGGGGATCGAAATTGACTTGGTTAAATAAGATATGAAGCATTGGTCATATATGAATCGAGTAAATGAAGGGGGAAAACGGACAATTCAGATGAGAAGAGGCAGCCATCGTGATTGAGAAACAAGGAAACAATGGGAAAAAAAGAGAAACATAAATAGAGAAAACAATGACAAGAAGTAAAGACAATTTGAGACATACCATGGATCAAGAAAGAGAACCCAAAATTTTTTTTAAAAAAGAAAAAAGACAGAGAGATCTCAAATGAAATTAAAATATACATATGAAATAGCTGTAGCATTAGCAAGACTCAACTGAGATTATCTGAACCCCACCTTCAAATTCGCAAACCACAGAGTTGTTATGAAAGAAAGGGGACTGAGAAAGTGGCCTGAGACTGAGAAAGGGGACTGGCCAGAGTTCTTATGAAAGAGAAGCACTCCAGAGTTCTTACCTATCAAAGCTTCAGAGTGAGCGCAACATCCGCAGAGGGCAAGAGAGATGGAAAAGCTAAGCACCTGCAGAGGAAACAAAGAGAGATTGCTAACACCCAAATCACAACAGTGCTGAAATAAATTTAAACCCTAAATTTTTTTTTTCTTTACCTTTGTTGATTGAGGTAGAGCAACCGCAAGCCAACACCCAAAAGGTTAGATTAAAACCCAAACCAGTAACCCCAAATCAGTAACCCTAAAATTACAACTCAAATCCCTCTGAACTAGAAGGAGGGAGGAGAGAGAGAGAGAGAGAGAGAGAGAGAGAGTGTGTGTGTGTGTAAGGTTTTTATTTGAACATTTATTGTATTTTGGCTCTTCTCTTAAACCAATAAAACCCTTGTAATATTAATTAGATTCTAGGTTAGAATCAGTGTGGGTTGAAGGGCTTCCAAGTCTCCTCATTGCAGGTCAAAAGGTAAAACATTTGCATTGTTCACATGGAATAATCCATATTCACTTGGATTGATCCAACGTACATTCTTGTATGCTGCAACATATTTCTCCAGTATGTTTTTTTATATTAATACTTTCTATGACAATATTAATCCATGTTGCGTCAGTGTTTTCAAGTTGGTGGCAGATTCCTTTTTTTTCATTCTTCATTCCTTTTTTTAATGTTGGCTCCTTAGCCCAACGAGTGTGTGTGGAGATTGAGAAACATAATATATTATTTTTATAATATATTATTTTCCATGAGACTTGTTTTCAAAAGAATCTTTTTTAAATGTCAAAATATTTTGGGAAATAGCCTTCTATGCCACCCATTTTATAATTTTAACTAAAAATACCACCCCTTCCCAATTTTTTTACAACTATTACCTATAAATATAAAATTATTGTCCACTTATTGCTGAATTTTCACAAGTTCAGAAAGTTTGTTCTCTCTTAGGTCACTCAGCTCTCTCTCTCTCTCTCTCTCTCTCTCTCTCTCTCTCTCTCTCTGGCACAGCTCTCTTTCTCTTTGGTTTTTGTCTAACGCAGCCCTCTGTGTCTCTCTTGGCTCTCTCTCTCTTGGCTCTCTCCCTCTCTAGCGCAACTCTCCGTCTCTCTCTCTTTGCTCTCTTTCTCATAGCGCAGATCTTTCTCTCTCTAGCTTCGTTACGTCTCTTTCTCCCCCTATTTGGTCTCTTGCTCTCTGTTTGGAATCGGGAACCCCTCCCTTTAGGTATGTCTTCTGAATAGCTGCTTGTAACCTTGAAGCTCTAGTGGATTGCTGACCTCGAAAAGATAGTGTTGATGGTTATTTTCTTAATATAGTGAAATGGGTTATATTTTGATTATTTGGGTTTGTGTTAAATTCGTTTTGGCTTTAATTGCTTTGGGTTAGGTTTTGTTGAATATTCATGCTCAGTCATCTGGGTTTGTACCAATTGCACTTAGATTGGTCTGGATATGTGAATCTTGAAACTTGGGATTTTCCATTTGATGTAGTAGATCTGTATAGTGTGATTCTGATGTGTTACTGGTATACTGCTGTTGTGTTCCTCTTATTTTACTGTCGTATTGCTGTTATGTTGATGTTATATTGCCATTATATTGCTGTTATATTGCCATTGTATTGTATGGTTATTGTGGTTATTTGTTCTATTTCTAAGTTGATTCAATTCTCTTATGAAAATTTATTTGAAGTCTTATACATAGTTTTTGCTCTAATTTTTCGTTTTGAATTATTCGTTAAAGTTTATTTATTTATTCATTTAAAATTTTGGAATTGATGAGATATCTGGTCTGGGCTTGAGATTACCCTAATTTATTGTTCTTTATTGTGATTGTGATTTTAGCTAAGGATTGGGTGATGTGTTTTTGTTTTGGGTCATTTGATATGGTTTTGAGATTGGTTTCATATCTATGATTTTGGTTAGTGTTAAAGTAAATAAATGGGTATTTCATTCCTGTGGTTTTTGTGGAGGTACACCATTGTATCATGCTTATTTTCTCTTTTGATGATATGGTTCTATAATGTATTTGTTTGGTCAAGCTGGCTTGATAAGTGCATGAGCTATGCTGGAAAGTGGCAAAAAAAACTTAAAATGCAGAGCAATAGGCTCCTTAAATACACAAGTTGAAATGCCTCAGCAGGTTTGTACCTGTCAGTGCATGGATTTAAATGTGTTATTGACTCTTCAACTTTCATAATATTTTTATATTGTGAAAAATGAAAAGATTATGTTCATTGTATCAAACAATAGGCTCCTTAAATACACAATTTTGCATAGCAAAAGGTGCTTTTTGGTGTAAAAAATGCTCGTTTGAATACAATAGTGGGGTGATAGGCTCTTTGAATACAATGATATAATAACAGGCTATTGATAAGTGCTGAGTTTGTTTTGTTTTGTTTTTTTTTAAAAATATGTGAGCTTAATTATGAATTTGAATGCAATATTTTTGAACAACTGATTTATAATAGAAAAACAACATGCATACATTATGAACAACGACTCTTTGATCATAGGATATTGGTATTGCTAGTAGCTAGTTATTAGTATTTGTGTCCAAGAAGACCCCATTGTGAGCACAACTTTGACAGAGTGGTTATAGAGATAAGAGGTGCTAAGAAATTAGATATTCTGATTTGTTCAATTACATTGCACCATCTTATTATAGTTACAGCTAACCTCAACTGGCTTACTAAACAATTGTAACCGATAAAAGAGTTATAGCCAACACTATTTATTTGGATATGACAATTTTCTAAATGGCTTTGAGCCGTTGAATTAGTAGGTCAGTTGTAAATAGCTGGGATTTTGTTTATGCTATGTATTTTTTGTTTATTTTTCACTTAATATCCTATAATAGGCTGTTGATAAGTGCTAATTGTTTATTGCTTGTTATTGTCTAGATTGCAACGGACTGAAATTATTTTTATAATATTGGCATGTAGGGAAATATGGTTTCTCCAATTAAGTTGATGATTGCAGAGGAAGAAAAGTTCCAAGGAAAAGCATTGTCTCTATCCCATACAAAGACTGCAATCAGTACCATAAAGGAGAAATTCAGTCAGCAACAGCTACGAAGGTTTGAAGAGAGCTGTTTTGGTCATCTCCTACTGATTGAGGAGTTGAAGTGGACTTCGCCAATTGTCCACGGCTTGTTATTGAGGAAGGCTGATCCGAAGACAGTTTCCCAAGTGAAAGGACAAAGACATGGATCTTTTGATGGACCTGTAGTAAGGGTGAGTGCTGCTTCAGTTCATCTCACCCGAGTACATGGATCTTTTGTTGCCTTCGTTTTCCCTTCGCGGGATAGTATTGTTAAGGTTCGGTGGCGATTTGTTTTGCATGTGTAAAATGCGATTTGTTTTGCATGTGTAAAATGTAGTCTGTAATGGATGTGTGTGTGTATTGTATGTAGATTCACTTAATATTGTTGTTATATTGTATGTATATTGCTTAATATTGCCTTTGTATTGTATAGATAGTGTATGCATATTGCCACCCTATTGGATGTATATTGTAAT